AAAAAAAAAAACAACCCACTAACAATACAGAAGAAATCTCCTTTTTTCCTGTGGGTTGTTAATGAGTGAAGGAAGTGTTTGTTTCTTTCTTCAGTAAATTGATAATTTTAAAATCTCTTCTCTTAGTGATCAAACTTTGTTCCTTTACATTCTAGATATAATTTAAATCTGATGTGCCAAGCTTTCTCTTTGATATAATATTTCAGTTATTACAAGCAGTCTGGAGAAAAACTACCCCTTTCATTTCCATTCTCTCCAGCTCTCATTTTATGTGTATATATTTCAATACTACTCGAATAATATCACAGTTTATTATTGACTGTGGTTTGTGGTTCAGTGAAACACTTTAAAAAAAGATCCATCTGTCCAGAAGTGTTGATATGTGGATATTGCGTGAATAATATTGAGGCATTATGGAAGGGTTTTTTTGGTGTGGTGCACAGATTGTCTGGAATCTATTAAGTTACTAAAGCATGGATATACTAGGAATATTGCCTGTATAAGTGAGGTAGTCACACATGAAATGGGAAACTGCTCGCTTCTTACTTAACTGTTACTCATAAGTTATTATTACATATTACTATGGCATACATTAATATAGAGTAATGGATTTCTAACAAAAATCTAAATAGAAATCAAATTAATGGTAAAAAATACAGTTTCGTACTGTCATTGAACAATCTGTAAATATACACCTCATCAGATATTAAAACACATTAAACTGCTGCCTTCATATATCTGTTTAAGTAACAGCGTATCATTAAGAATGTTTTTCTTTTTAATGCTCTAATGTGAGTGTTTAGTGTGTCACGGCGAATGAGGCAGGCCAAACCATAATGCCAGCATGTCACAGGTAGCAGTTTATCTATATTACAATATGTATAATCATGTGAAAGTTTTGAGCCACCCCTCATTTCTTTAGATTTTGCTAGGAAAATGAGAAATTTATTGAAACACGTGCAAACATAAATTTAAATATTGTATTAAAGCACTATATAAACTGAGTTTGTCCAATTCTAGCTATGTTTGGTAAGTAGTCTTCAGGAATAGTTCGCCACGCTTCTTGAAGGAAATTCAAAGCTCTTCTTGGAAGGTTGACTACCTTCTGCTCCAGTCTCAGTTAGGGGTTAGGGTTAGGCTCTAGGGAGGCCAATCCATGACTGATTGTGTTCCATTATGTCTTTTTCTATCCAGGTAGGGTTTTGCTGTATTGGCAGAGTGTTTGGGATAACTGCCAATGGTACCAACAACTCTGACGGCACTTTTCTGCATTCATGATTCTATCAATTTTGACAAAAACCCTGACTCCATTGCCTGAAATGCAGGCCGAAGCATGACAGGGTATTACAGATCGCTGTAGACACTCACTGTTGTACCTCTCTCATGTCCTTCCGCATATATACAATGATTTGAACCAAAAATGTAAAATTTGGATTCATCACTTTACAAGACCTGCTGCCACCGATTTTCTGCCCAGTTCTTGTATCTCAGCTTTCCTTCCTAAGAATAGCTTCTAGATCAACAGTGGATCAACTGAAGGACCAGATGTATATCTCAGGTCCTGTGTCTCTGCTAAATTTCTTTCTATTTCCCAAGTTCATGACTTTAAGATGCTCTGCCTTTGTTTGCATTTCGTTCCCCCGCTGTAAATAAAACTCACTCACAGCTACTCAGTCATCAGTGCCTGCACTTGGGTCCACACTCCTCACCACTTCACACGTCTGCGTCAGCACCCGTGGCAGTTTTTTAGGTCTGCTTCTTCTTTTGTCCTCTTTTTTTGTCCAGTTTTGTCACATTTTTAAGGAGACTGCATACCGTGTGGCAATATGCCAAGTTTTCATCTAACAGCTCTTTGGGAATCACCTTTGTTGGTGCAGAAATGTGTTTTTATGCCTGCCAAACTGTGCTATCTTAGGCATGTTTTAGCAAAAGGCTGCTAGTAAAAGTTTTTTAAGATGCCTGTTACAGCTAGCCACAACAGTTGTTGATCCCTTGAGCATCAAGTGGCTTTACAGTCAAACAACGTTCCAAGGACTGGACTGAAAATGAGTGAAAAGGCATCTCATGTCTAAAGGAAAACTTTTGTAAAAAAGACCCGTGTTCAAGACCTCTTTAAAAATCACAAAGTTTGTATATAATATATATAATCAATGCATTATCTTTACAGTTTACCTACAGACTTAAAGCAAGCATGCATGCTTTTGTTTTTTCAGATATTTACAATGTTTTCTTTCTTCTATCTGGTGCTTTAATATTCCTAGTTTTCCCACAGATAAGGGAAATTCCACATAAAGGTAAAAGCTTTTACAGTTTTATGCTGGTGCAAATCTTCATTAAATATTCACCCATCTAACACTTCGTTTCCTCAAAAAAAGTTGTGTGCAGCAAGTTGTATGTACGTAAAACCTCTATGTAATCCGATGTAGTGTGAGTTTTCAAGAGTGTGAATTAATGCATGTGTACTGTGTTTGCATAGTGTGTGTGTGCATAGTGTCCACTCATAGTGTGTGTGTATATATCCCACTTCACTCAGTGTAATCTCACGATTCAGTGGTTCAGAAAAAATCTCCCTCTTTCCAATAAACTCTCCATTTTTTTCTCTCTTTCTGTCTGTCCACCCAGTCAACAATAAATGAAGTGAATGGTTGTTGTTCAAATGAGGCCTCTCGCCACCCTCCTAAAACTCTACGGGTTACCACGGAAACGGCAGTTTATTGCTGATTGCAACCATTTCTACAATAAAGGGGCCTTATTCAAAACACTCTTTCCTCAACAACTGATTGTAAACTTCCTGAGTGTCTTTCTAAATCTTTCAGACCTCTCTTTTTGACTTCAAGTTGCTACATGTCATTTTCACGCCTATGTTTATGTTCTCTAAAACATGTACAATGGATGACTGAACAGCAGGAAAAGTTCCTTGATTATGTTGACAGTGTAGGAAATCTCATCTTTTCATTGTTAAAACAACTTCATACATTTTAGACACATTAACAGCTATGAATCCCAATGTTAGTCTTTAGGTAGCTTGCTAATTTAATAACTCAATACTTGCTACACAGGTTGCAATAACAACACAAAGTTTACCCAGAGAGGCAAATCTGTGAATACTAAGTGAATATCTGCTCTCAAAAGAGAAGGGACATTCCTTTGAGGATACAGGTGTTGACATTTTGGTCAAAGAAGACAGACGGTTAAGAGAGGAGTACAACAAGACATCTATGCTCACCTGGAACAACCATCATTGAACGCACACTCAAATCTTGACCCATGTGATCCTAACTGCTCACATATCTCTGTATCAGCTGCCAGAACTGAAGAAGTTTCAGGTGTGATGTGAAACATCTTCGAGAACCTCAAGAAGTCCAGATGGCTTCAACTCAAACATTTAAGTCTCCTGTGACTGAGAACCTACAGACACCTATTAACTCATTTAATAGCCTGTGAACAGCCCTGTTTGTGGGCAGCAGAGGGATTTGCAACTGCAGGACTTCTTGTTTCTGCAAACCAATGTGAGGTGAAACTTTTGTAGTGAACACCACACGGCTTTTGTTGGTCCATGGCTTTTCTGTTTTGCCCTCATCAGGTTGTAATTGTTATCTCTTGTATTGATACCCACTTTTCGTAAGTGCATCAAACAATGCAGCATCCAGAGTCTTCAAAAAGACACAGCTATCAGAGCTACTATAAAAGCCCTTAACCTTGTTTAATCACTGGAGGTGTCTGTCTTTTTATAACATTGTTAATTCCATCTGCAGTACAGGAGAAAATCATTAAACAATGCTTATGATTACTGGCAAAAAAAAACTATGTTTGGTTTTTCACTGAGCAAAATTAGGTGCAATCAAATCTGCTAAGATTAAATGTTCATAAAAGCTGCAGATCATCTGTACATAATGAGCAAAGGACATGGAGTCTACTTGGCAACGCTCGTATAATGCAGAGTCAGTTGCAGGCAGCTGGCTGCCAAATGAGTTATCTCAGCAAGTAAGCTAGTGTAGACAGCGTGTAAATCAAATAGGCAGCTTAGAAAACGACTGTCTACGTCCTCTTTTCTGACACACTACAGGCAAAACAGCTCATAAGTGAACAAGGATACAGACCATAATATTAGCTTTAAAGTCACTAGAGACATCACCAGCATTTTGAGCAATATACAGCAATATTTTGCTTTTGTTGGTTACTTTATTTTTTAGAAAGTTTTTGGGAACAAAATAAAACACTGCTATCAAAATCCTCCAAATGTTTCAGAGTTGACTTGAAATTAAACTTTCTTTGTCTTTTCATCCATTAAACATTTCAAAAAACATACGTTTACTTACCCACATCCTGATAAGTCCTTGCGCCTCTGTGCAGAAGTGGGTCAATCCGTAACAGTAACACCTGCTGCAGCCCAGCGGGTTTCGTAGGGATAACCCAAACGTGTCGGGCTTACAGTGATCGCAGTAGTCTCCCTCCACATTTTCCTAAAATGTGACACAGCAAATTAAAGCAACCTTTGAGCCAGTCTTTCTATGCATACTTTAAATGAAAACATTTCTTTAGGAAATACTTTAAATGACTCTTTTCTGCTTGAGGCTATAAAGCACATTTAGCTTAATAGTACTCTTGGGATCTAGTGTCTCACTCAAGAACATGTCAGCACGGCTGAAAGTCTAAACCCTTCAGATAAAAGTAGCAGTCCAGAAGTAGCCCTAGTTATGTGTTTACAGCAATTTAATGATTAATATCTTCTTAGATGTCATAAAAAGTTTAACTGATTAGTTTATATGCTTGCCAGGAAATGCATTTGGTGTCTTGGCTTCACTGGGGTGGCAATAAGAATCTGGACCGGCTGTTTACATTGTGAGTAAATAAGCTGAGACTCGACTGGTCTAAAATGGAATTGTGGACAGGGCTGTGCATTAAGCCTTCCCTCTGCAAAGGAAAGTTACAGTGCTGTCAACACAACATCATCCAATTAATGTTGAGTTCTGTCAAAAAGTCCTGCAGGTTAGTGAGAAAGGACAGAGGAGGGAAGAGTGGGAAGGTATAGTCAGGAAGTGAGGACCACGTTAGGATTTCTTCATTAAAAGTAAATCATTATGTCACTATTGGGGGCTGTTTATCATAATCAACAACAGTTCTTTTTTGGGAGCGGGGGGGG